TTTCACTTTTGGAGATGACTGAAAGCAACAAAAACTGAGGATAATATGTTTGCCTATCTTTACTAAGATGTTTCATAGGTCTCATATGACAAATATTGCTGCAGAGGCACATTCAGTGTATATACTCTTCATTATATACATAACTTTGTGGCATATTAAGAAACAATCCTCCCCTCAAAATAATAATCTAAATAATTTGGTTTTGTTTTTTTTTAAATGACAACTTGCAATACTTTACTGAGCTACTATTTGCTATATATTCTCATTTTTGAGGAAAAGAAGAAGAGAAAAAGAAAACTTCATCAGGACTTGTAAAGCATGACAATAAGACACTGGCGTTCAAAAACAGCCAGTGTGTATCTTTTCAATGTTAAATTCAATAGAAAAAAACGCCACTACAGAATAAAGTAACAATTACATATTTTTAACTTAAAAGTATTTTTTCAGAGGCAATGTTTTTACCTTTTGGGGGAAATTATCCTCTGCCCAAAACTGAGAGTATATGATGGTACAGAACAGCAGAGAGATTAAGGTGAGATGAGTTGAGTTTGTTTTATGTGCTCTCTGCAGCTTCAGCAGATTTGCCTCTGAATTCCAGGTCAGTGCACTTAATGTGTGTATAAAACTAAAACCTGCACAAAAAAATACTAGTAAAAGACTACCGTGGATTTTTTCTTCTAAGCCAAATAAAAGCATCTGCTGAATTCCAGCTGATTATATACATACACAGCTCCCACATACCACTTTCCAGAGCTCGCTCTATCCTCCTCCTTTGATAGGAGTAAGACAAGTACAAGTATGACTGAGCCCTATTTTTCTTTGTCATCAGACTAACTTATCACAATGCACAAGATGGAAGAACCAAGTTCGGCTAATAAAGCCTGAGCTGAGTTAGCAGGCTACTATTAAGTATGATACAGCTTGTACATCAAGCACGACTAGGAAAGGAACAACCGCAGTGTTGAATTCCACAAATATTTTGATGCATATCTGCTTCAAGTAGCAAAGAGGCATTTTCTCCACAGGTCTTAAAACACTATCTTCCTGCAGTCTGCCTACACTATGGCTCAAAGTACAAATCAAGGAACTGGTATCGGACAAGGTATTCATCAGCAAAACACTGGACTCCATCCTAACTTAATCATAAGAAATCCCTGTTTTCTAGGCACTGTGGAAGTCTCCTGGTGTCCTGCAAGCGCCAGACTTTCCTTTAAGGAAGTCTTGTCTCTAAATAATAAGAGCTTAAAGCCTTTTCAAACTCACTGTGGAACCATCAGGATGCAGCTCAGTTCCTAGAAGAGGAATGAGTTACCAGATCCTTGAATGGATCTTTTTTCAAAGGTTTAAGTTCCTCCAATGTCCACCCTCTAAACATTTAAGCATTTGACAGAGAACTGCTTGCTCTTAACAGAGGTCATATTCTTGTAGCCACAATGCATAAGGCTTACTATAAATCTTACAGACTTCAGACTAGCTTTAGGCACCACACAAAGAACCTATTTCTACAGGTGCACTAATTCAAGAGAAAATGTGTTTTTTCTTGGTCTACGAAAAAGACCACTTCCAAAATTAAATGCTACCTCTCCTTTAATCTTTCTGTACCCATCCAATAACTAGACTCTAACTGATCTGCCCCTGAGCATCCTGCAGGGACAGACTCTCCAGCTGCCACACTTAGGTTGTTCAGCAAACAGCACCCTACAGCCAGTCTGTTCGGTGGCAGCACAGGGAGCAAAGCTCACCTTTACATCCAAGTTTGCATTTAAGCAAGCAATCCTTCAATTGTGAATCAGAGTACACCGGCTGACAGGTCACATGCTTCTCATTGCTCTGTTTTTAGAGGAAGTTAGGTTCTTTATTGCAAGATAGTCTGAATGCCAGTAAAAACAGATGGAGATCAGGTCTAAACAACCTTTCTGGCTGCGCTCAAGACTACTGCCATACAGGATCAGGAGATATCAACAACGCCATGAGAAAGAAAACAAGTGTTTAGATGAGTAGGATAGCAGAGATAAAGAGAAATAAAGTCCCAAAGACATGCATGCTGACAAGAAACGCAAATGACAAGAATCAACATTTCCATCAGTTAATGAAGGAGTATTTCAGAGACTTAAGATTTTGCACAACAAATTAGAATAGGAAAAGTTTATACATAAAAACTCTACCAGCTAAAAAAGGCTTTTTTTACTTGAGTGATGCTCCATTGATGACGTTTACAGACTAGTTTGGAAATTTAGGACGCTGACAGACAGAAAAATTTCCTCACTGTCCACCTTAGAAAGGTTAATCGTTACTCACTTGTAAGTTAACAGTTTCCAGCCTCTTTTATTTGTAAAGAGGTTTTGGAGTACTGTATGAGATACTGCCAGTAACATAAGCTCATCCGAAATGCATCAATCTGAAATGACTGACATACTTTAAACTTTCTGATCACTTAAAACAAACATAACTCTAAACTATGCATCCTGGCTGCTGGGCAAGAGAAAAGCAGTACATAGTGTAGGACTACTAATAACGGGTCCAATACCTTCACCCCAGCTCTGTTTTCAGTACAGGTCCTGGGTTGGTAAAAGACTAGGCTCTAACATCTCTCTTCCAAGTCATATCCAGAAATGCTCTCTGAGTTCAACTGGATTCCTTGAAGATAGTGCCAGTGGACAGGTTTCTCACTGCGAGATCTCAAAGCATTCCAGATTAAGAACTAGTTTGAGTATTTCTATCCTATTAGAAAAAGGAACAAATTGTAAATTACTGAATAAAAACTCCAACCTGACATTCAAACTCATTGCAAACTGTGCTTCATGTAACCAGAACACCTTATTTATGCTCACACAGCTACATCAACCTTTCATTTTTCCTTCTAGATTTTGTATAAAGTGCCATAATTTGATGTATCAACTTCAGAGCACTCATTTTACACATTCACTGAGTACTTTGATTTTATTGAATGGGCTTAGAAGTTTGGCAGCTGGATGAGTTAACATCATACAGTTGGATCAAGTGGAGGCTTTCCAAAGGAGTGAGGAAAATTAATGTGTTTAGGAAGTTGTTTGCATTGTTGGGCATAAAATTTGGTTTTGTTAGGGACACAAGACAGGTTAAACAGAACACAACCACTACATAAATAAATGGTTCTGTAACTACTACTAAGGACAACAGGTAACACTACCTCTGGGTCTTCCTTTGCTGCCAGAGTACTGAAAGTTCACTAATATAACTCTTTGTGACTTTCTTTCATTTTCCACATTCGGATTTTTTTAAAGGGAACCTGACTCTTCACAAGACGAAAGATCTTAAAACAGTCAAAAAAGCTTCTGTTATACTTTGGTGATAAACTGTCAAGTCTTCTTTCTGGAGTACGAGAATTACATAATACATTCTTTCTGGATTTTTGTTGATACTTTTTTTGTATCATGACATGGGAGGGAAAGTATAAAATTACAATAGAAGTGAAAACTTCAAACCTGTAACGCGTTCTCTGGCAAATTCAGCTTCCAACTATTAAATTCAACAAAATGCTTCCATCAACACAGACCACAAAACAAGGGGCTTGACATTACAGGCACTCTCCCACAGTGACAGTTTTAACATAAGATCTTCTTCCATCACAGAAGAACCTGTTTATTCCTTCTTCAGTCGATTACCATGCATTTACTTTAACACAGCAGAAGCAGGGATGCTTTTATCATCACTTGGATGATCCTTACGGAATAGTTCAGAAAGGTTAAAAAAAACAAAAACAAAAGAAGCAACCCTTATACCTCTGACTACCACACTCTTAATTTTTTAAATTAAAAAACCCTGTATTATAACTCTTCTAAAAGAAGAGTGAGCAATAATTTTGCACCAAATTCTATTTCTTTGTATTCTAAGACTTTCAGGACTTGTGTAATAGTCTTCATCAAAAAAAAAAAAGTCACCAAGGGAAAAATATATTTTAATTCTATGCAGCTGTACATATCTAAGTTTAAAAAATGCTTTAAACCTACAGATATTAAGGGGTCTGGGTTAAATTAACAACAATACTAGTGGAACTAAGTACGCTATTACATAAAGCGTATTGGTTTAACAATGGAAAACAGGACCTTAAATAGTTTCAAGGTCCTTTTGTGATGACAGGGCAGCTACTGAAAAATAGAACACCAAACAGATAAAAATAAGAAATTGACAATCTTGGATTTTCAAATAGAAGTCTCCCAAATACAAACACACAAAAAAAAGACAGAAGCAGCTCAGGCTAAAGCGGATCAATCTTTTATCACAACATTTCACTAGGATGTACCAATACAACAATAACCCTGACATATTAATGGAACAAGGAGGCTTAGTAAATGCAGTTTATCTCCTTCTCACACCAACAAAAAGTCAGTGGATGACAATTTAACTAATTTCAGAAAGCCTACAAATTATTAGAAATCAGAAAGGTAAACCAAACCTTGGTATTGTAACTGGCCTAAACTGATATATAAATACTCTTTCTACATCAAATCTACATTTCTAAAAGTGATGAAGATACCTGACCAGGAGAAATTTTAACTCTCTGTTCTGAAACCTCCTGAACTCTTTACTGTACATCTTACATACACAGAGATGTATCATAAAGGCTTCTATGTTATTTGAACTGAAAAAGCCTCCAATATTATACAGGCATGACTATCCTGGAAGTTAAGAGAAAGCTCAAAACACTGACTTGGGCTGCCAGTGTCTGACAAGCAAAAATCAACACTGAAATGAGTTTGGTCTTCAGCTCCTTTACATTTGGTAAAGATCTCTGACCAAACGTGTATTAGACTGTCCAGCAGAGTAAGAACAGAGAGTCAGAGGCATTCTACCTTTCCTATGAAAATCAGTAACATACGAGCTTGCTGTTTTCTAAGCAAATACTACTACACACACAAATGACACCAGGTTTCATTCCCAGCCGAGGAGAGGTGTAAATTTCTGAGCGATGACGGCTCCCACAGCGAGCTGGCTGCTGTGCTGTCACCACCGGACCTCACGTTTGCCACCTTTCCATTAATCGCAAGGTCCTCGGAGAAGGTGCGGTACAGGCCCAGTGCCAAGCGCATATTGGTGGGGAAGTCCTGCAGGAGGTACGCTTGCCAGCGAGCCTGATATGTCATTTACAGCACACCCACACATCCTACGATTAACTTCATTTCGCCTTTAATCAGTTTTAGAAGCTCTTACGTGCCCCTGGATGCAGCGCAGCCAACCCTGAACAAAGGGGGAAGGGAGGGGAAACCCTTCGCCTCCGAGGGGCTGGCT